CTCTGCTGAGAATACTGAGAACTTGAAACGAAATCACAAGTCAGAGGGGGATGGCAGAGCCAGAGTAAAAACTGAAAATGAAGATGCCTCCTGCCAAGGCAAATTGCTTAAGGAAAATGATTTCGAAGAGGACGACAAGAAAGCAAGCAACAACCACCCCTAATCGACCCGGCCTCCCTCCTGTGGAGGGAGCTCCAGCTTTCGATTTCCGTTCCCAGTTGTGGGCTGTTGAGGCAAACGCGTTTATGGCACAACGATAGAAATCGAAAGCCCATTAAATAGTTTACTTTATGCATGGCTGGCAGATCTGCGCCAGCCCTGCGGCTATTGACTCTAGTCAGTTTACTCATCATGGAGATGATGAACCCGTCAGCCGGATAGAGCAAGTTAACAAAAGCCACTCCCTCACCATTTGCTTTATTCCTACTTTTTCGGTCTAGGCCACAACTATCACGTATGGCTGGAGTGTGTTGGCGTTGCACGTAGTCGCCACATTTTCCTCTTTGAGTTCCTTGCACCGCACCAACTCCTCTTCCGGCTGCTCAGCCAGTTGTGCGGAAGTGTCCATCATATTCATGTTAATAACTTCCCCCCGCACAGCCTACCCCAAGTCCTTTCCAAGTCCTTACCTGGGGCCAGCATTTGCAGCCCATGAAAAAGCACTTAAAGGGCTTCAATGTCTGCAGTAAAGAGGAATAGATGGAAATCATTTGCAACTTTTAACTTTTAATGAAATCACAACAAAAAGTGAACTTTAAGGTTTAACTTTATGGCACAAACACACAATTGCAATGTTCTTGAATCGAAGTGCATAAATGCATAATAAATAAATTAATTCATAAATCCCTTGCAGCTATTGCATGAACTCCATGCCACATTAATTCCCATGGCCCAAATGTATGCGCACAAATAAAGTGTGAATCACACAAAACAGAATCACCTTTTTTTTGCGTCCAAATTTTCATTAAAGAAGAAGATTTTCCCATGGCAACACTTTTTTTTCGCATGCTGTCAGCGCAAATATTTGACCACAGTGGCAAACAGCAGCAATGCCCGCAACAAAGGCAGCTAACAACATCCATCGGTTACAAACAGAAGCAACAGCTGCATCAACATTTGGTTGGACTTTCGCAACAATATTTTGTAGCAACATTTTTCTTGTCAACATAAAATCCCTCAACGCTGGTTCGAACTTTTGGTGTGCCCTAACAACGAAATGGAAAGTTTCAAAGAATCAAAAAACATGAAGGGAAAGCCAGTATTAAATTCATTGGTGGATATATTCGGAAACATATAAATACTACTTGAAATCAATAGTCATGCCATGGACTCTTTGGTACCCTGTTTTCGACACATCTCTCGAGGGCCACAGGTTCATACAAATGAACATATCTGCATACATTCATTCGTATGAATAAACATTTGCAGGAAGCATGTGAATACATGTGTCAGCGGGATGCGAGAAATGCAAATGAAAATGATACGTATTTACATACAGACGGGCTAAAAGTCAAAAACTGCTGTCAGCTGGCACACAAAAAAAGGAAAGCACGAAGTGCCCTCTGTCCCCTTGGCACTGCACCCCATAAATTTGGATGACAGCGGAGGTGACAACGTGTCAACAAGCGCCGCGGGTTGCTCGTACACCCACGCAGTCAAATCCAAACACACGAACACATCGTACTGGCATAAACAGCAGGCACAAAAGTGCGGCCAATTAGATACAAAATTTAAAGATGTTCCAGAGCGAATGAAGCGCTTTAAATGATTGATTATTCGGCTTCGCAGATCGAAAATAATGTAATTTGTGTCCTCCTGGCATCCATGTATCTGTTTAGCTTAAGAGGATTCCTTGAAGACATCAACTCCTCCCTGTTCTGTTGTTATCGCTGTTGTAAGTGTAAGTGCCTGTGGCTGACATATGCCAGGAGCCAGGAACCTCCGACACAAGCGCACTTTTGTGCCGTTTTCATTGCTGAGTTTTGCTATGGAAATTGTTATTGTTGCTGGCTTCTGGAGCAATATCCTCGCCAAGCAGCGAATCGGCTTGGGTTGGCTTATTTTATAATCACAGCAATTTTCGAGCCTTTGCCCAATGATTTTCTTATTTTCTCATATTTGCATTTTATTGCCGCGCGCCCTTTTTATTGACACAAATCATTTGGATTGTGCTCGTGTTATTTCTGGGCACGCATTTATGCGTGGTTTAATGCTCGAATGTTCGTGTGAGTTTTATTTGGTGACAGGTATTTGATATTTCACTTTTGATTGGTGTGCGATTTATGCCGATGTTTATTTTGTTTGCTTGTTTGCCAAATAATTTCAAATCATAAAACAAATTGAATTTAAAGCCATGCCAAAACGAGGAACTCTCGCCCCGCGTTTGCATGGAATTTCTGTTCTGTTGCCAAATATTTGATTTAAAATTATTTGTAATTTTCCAAAGCCCCAGGATTATACACATGTTTATGTATTCACTGATAGGTGTTGAGTTCATTAAATATTGTATGAGATTGATAAACACTGAAGATACATGCATACTTATTTATTTTTATATGAGTAAAATTCTTTTCTTGAATCGGTAAATGTCACTCTTAGTTTTCGTATGAGTTAAAACTAACTCTTTCCATTTTCATGTGACTGCAATGTTGGTGGCTTTTGAGCTGCAGTAAAGTCATACAAATTGTCACTTTAGAGCATAAGTCAGAGCTATTATTTATTTAATAATTGTATTATTTATAAAATACTTTTCATTCAATTGTACGCCTAAGAACACTTTTGATGGGGCAAATCCACATGGAGCATTCAGATAACCACACAAAAACCACGAATCCTTTTTGGCCAAACCTTCCCCTTCTTGTTGTGCTCATTTAGTGGGCAAACATTGTCAAGATACATAAATGTTGATGTATCTTATTGATGAAAGGATGCTGTGCCTTAAGGATGCCGTGCAACAACAATGGCAGCCATAAGGGATAACATTACACACACACAGGGAAGGGGTCTGCTGTCCATTCATAAATCATATGTTCCCTCGATTTTGCTCCATTTTCCGACCCGATTTGAGCGCTTGCGGCGCTTTGCGATAACTGTTTGCTTTAGTTCACCAGCGTGGAAAAATGCTCAAATATTTGGGCATGGCCACGGCTAATACAAAAGTTCCTGTTGTCAGGGGGGAAAGTGGTCAGACAATAGTTACACTCACAGTGACCCACTTGGCTGGACATTGGTTTGTCATTCACTTCATTTGGAAGGCTGACGATTAGCGTGGCAGAAGCAGAATCCCTCTCGCTATCCACTTAAACTTGCAACAAATTAAATAAGTTTCAACTCATTTACCAAGTCATTTTGCCGCCAACTTTGCTCGTCATCAGCCTCCACGGCTATTTGTGTTTCAGTTTACTTTTATGAGGACTCTTTTGCAACCCACACACACCCACACACACCCACACACACCCACTACCAGGGGGCATGCAAAAATGAAATCCACACAAAAGAAATCAGCTACAAATTTATTTACCCTGACTCCAGCACGGGGAACAGCAAAGTTGTGCGCTTTTGTTTGAAATTTGTTTCGCATTTGTAAGTTGAAATGTTTTTAGGAAGAAAAGCGCCCGAAAAAACACACACAAAAAGAAAGGGAACACAGCAAAACACACAAATAAAAGCTTTGTCCTCGGTCAGACCTCAGCTTGTCCGTTGAGTCGGTGCAAAAGGGGGAAGGGCATCCGGCGCATCCGGCAGAAGGCGGAATCTCAGGTTCCTGCAGAAAATGTTCTTTAGTTTCCCTTTTTTTTGTTGTGGCCCGGCCAAAGCCAGATTTCATTTAATTTAACTTGCTCCCCTATTTCGCTTTCGGACCGTCCAGGCTTTCAGCTTTCAGCTTTCAGCTTTCAGCTTCCAGCTTAAACAAATTTGCTCAATGGCAATGTTGGGTTCCCTTTTAAAGGCCCAACCGTACGGCCTGCTCTCCAAATTGATCTTATTGACACTTTACTTACGACACAAATCGGGTCTGGGGCCGTCCCCTTTTCAGCCAGGCCGTGCCCAATGGCCGTGTCATTTGCAACATTTTCGTTTCGGTCTTCGGCACAGGAATCATTACTGCAATTTAAGCGCCTATGGAATCCGATTGTGGGTGTGGGCTACGTTGGCTGGCCATAAACAAAGCTTTATGGATCCTAGTGAGGAGGGGTGGGGCTAGGGGCTGGTAACTCTGTGGGTGGCATGCAACAGATACTGGTGCCCCGAGGCTTACCGTTCGCAGTGGGCTGGCAAAATGGAAATTGAGAGAAATGGCTAAGTCCTCGATTACATTATTAACTCAATTTGTCAAAGCTATTACAAATTTCGGAGCTGCTTAAATGGGAGGGAAGAAACACTCATTTTTGACCGATGGACCAGCGGAACCTCAGTCCCCTCAGTCCCCCTTTTGCTGGATACTTTCATCGAGCCAGCCAAGAGCAGCCTTTAGCCCGATTTTGGAAACATTAAGTATCACTCACTCGATTCAGCTCACTGGCCTCAGCCCCGAAGAGTTGTGTTTTTATGTGTGGCACTGGCAGACATGGGCAGCTGAGTTCGCTGAGTTCGCTGAGTTATGGCGTCCAACAGCTGCGCAAAACGACGTCCACAGCGGCCTCAGAGCTGGCCAGGGGCAGGACCTCGACTATCGTCTCGCATGGGCGGCACAAATATGTTGCATAAGCCCCCTGGGGGCATAAGCACCAGGCAATATCATTTGGCAGCATCCAATTGAGGAGGCAGGGGAGTAGTGAACAAAATATGAGCTGCAAAAAACCAACCAAGCAATATTAAATAAAAATGGCCAGGCGACAGTTGGAGCTGGTACCCTGGAGCTGGACTGCATTGCTGGCTGGGTGGCACAATAGACCAGTATGCCCATATGTAGTTGGGGAATATTGTAGCCACTTTATGGTGCCACAAGTCAGGGGCACAATATGCACAAGTCCACCCAAAGCGAACCTCTTTCTCCACAGGATACTTTCCGTTGGGATCCGAGCACTGTTTGACCTGGATCTGCCTGGATGTGCTCTTCTGCACGGCCAGCATAATGCATCTGTGCACCATCTCCGTGGACCGCTATTTATCGCTGCGTTACCCCATGCGATTTGGCCGGAACAAAACGCGTCGAAGAGTCACTCTGAAGATTGTTTTCGTGTGGCTTCTGAGCATTGCCATGAGTCTGCCTTTGAGCTTGATGTACTCCAAGGTGAGTAATAAATGTCCCGCCTTTAAAGTAATTAAACTTTGCCTTTGATCCATTAAGAATGTTTACTTGAATATTGCACGGTGCCACGAATATGTTCGCGTTTCTAATTACTCGCAAATCTTTTGTACATCTTGTACTTTTCATTGTGCTCACTCCGCTTTTCTCTCTGCTCCTGCTCTCTGCCTTCTTTCATTTGATTCCAGAATCATGCCTCAGTGCTGGTGAATGGGACTTGCCAGATACCGGATCCAGTGTACAAGCTCGTCGGGTCCATTGTTTGCTTCTACATTCCGCTGGGCGTGATGCTGCTGACATATTGTCTGACCGTGCGATTGCTGGCCCGCCAGCGCCAGAACTTGGGCGGTGGCCAACAGACGGCAGCCGCCACACCCGGCTGGGCCAGCGGCTGGCTGGGCCAAGCCCCAGCCTTGGGTAAGCTTCTGGAACACCCGTTTTTCCTCCTTTTTTTTTTTGTTTTGTTTTGCCTACAAAGCAAGCGCCACGAAGAGCAGCAGGGTGGTAGGGTTTTCGGGCTTAATATGATTTTCAGTTTGCCTAAAATTTGCATTTCGTTTTTTGGTTGCACTTTTTTTGCTTCTGGTTTTTGTTGTGCCATGCCAAGAACTTTGCAGGCCACTCGAAAGAGGGCTGGCAGCAGAGAAGGTGTCGTAGACAAACAATGCTCGGGTGAATGTGGGTGAATGCTTCCAGTATCCGTATCCCATGAATCCGAAAAGGCGGACTGGGGCGGTGTGACGCAAAGTGGGGCTAAGCCGCAGCAATGCACACAGCATCGACATAGCCATCGACATTGAACCGGTGAGGACAAGGGCCACACCCACACACCCACACACCCACTCGTACAAGTGAAATCCAGTCTATGGACTGGACTCGTACTCGTGTGTGTAGATAGCTAATTTCGAGGCGCCCTCCTAAATGGCTTGTGCGAGGGTGTTGCAGAGGTGCTTGACTTGTTTTCAATTCGAAGTTTCAAGCTGCAAACTTTTTGATGTGGGTTGCCTGGGGGCTACTCCCGTATCATCCTGTTCAATTGATGACTTTCATGAGCCTATGCCAAACTTCCCAGCCACAAAAAGACACTTTCTGTTGCCTCATATTTTCAGCAATTTCTCCCAGCTCGTAGTTAAATCAAATTAAAGCACACAGCACTTTGAATTTTGGGATTATCAGCGCTATTAAGTGCGTTCCCAATGGAACCCCTGTCCACGCTTTGAATGGCTTTGCTTCAGCTCCATTTTGTATCCCATCAGTTAGCACCTAAAGGACAGTAAGCACCCATGGCCCATGGCCAGCCACGAGTATTTGGGCCCGGACTAGGGGGGCAATAGGAATATTAAATGTACTCCCGATGCGGCCTGCAGCTGGAATCACATGCATTGGCAGGGCACTTCGCTTGAGTGGAGCCTCTGTGTGTGTGTGTGTGGGGTGTGGGTTGTGTGGTGTGCGGGGAGCTGGCTTTTGGGCATTTATTTTAAGCCAAATCCCTGCAGCAAAGAGCGGCTGGCACCGGCACGGGCACGGGCACAGGCACGTAGCGAGATTTTGTAGATTGTTCTTTGGGTAGTGACTCGGTTTGTGTACTCGTGCGAATTGATTAGCGCATTTTGTGACTTTTGTGCATGTTGTGCTCTTGCCTCTCCCCTCCCTCCCACCCCCTAGAACGACGCTGCACTTGGCGCCGCCTGCTAAAGCCGGGCCCAGGTCACGCTTCGTCCGTGCTGCACGCCCACTCGGCCAACTCAACGGATACGGACCTGAGCACTTTGGACAACCATGAGCTCTGGCTGCCCGACTCCAGGTGAGCACTACTGCAGCAGCCCTGCTGGCAGTCTGAATATATGGCATTTATTGTGACCTCACACAGCATCAAAGAACCCACGCCGACCACAATGACAGCCTTGCATCAGTTCGGAGCCGAGATGCTGAAGCTCTCGAGAGGCCTCGAGTCGGTGGGCTCCTCATCCACCACGGGATCGCCCACCAAGTCCGAATTTTCCATATCAAACCACCTGCAGTTCCCCAGCAGCCCCCAGCGCTATGCAACCCATCAGCAGTCGCATCTGCAGGGAGGCGCCTACCACCAGCAGACCTCGCCCAAGGGTCGGCATGGCACCACAATTCTGGGACTGTCAACCACAACCCTGGGAATAGAGCGAGAGAGCACGCGGAACTCATTGGCCAGCAGCCGCCTGGGAGGAGACCAGAGCGACGGGTAAGTAGTGGGAGAGCCCTTTGAATTTATAATTGCCTGGAAGGGGATCTAGCAAAAGGCGCGACAAATGAAAGCAATGAAAATAAACAACAGGCCATGGGATTCTCAACGTATTTTGGATGCCCTTTACAGCTTTTGAGACAGTTCTTGAAGCACATCAAAATTGTAATATAAAACAATCTTAAAGTATAAAAATGTAACAGAGTTTGTCCGTCTCCTTACCTGTCAAAAGGACACACAGCTGCTACCAGCAAACCGTTTTGTTCGAGTGATCCTTTCTAGCCACTGGGTTGGTTGTCTTTGTTGTTTTTCAATCCTAGTCCAGTCCCAGTCCCCGGCCCCGGCCCAACTCCGTTTCAGTCCGAGTCCGTGAGTGCTGACCAAAAGGCAGGGCTGTCGCTCACCTCAAGTCCTTCTCGTTTTCGTTGCTTTTTTTTCTGCTCCTTTCTTTTCTTAGTTTTGTGTGTGCTCCTTTTTGCGGCGTTGCCTTTTATTGTCCTTCCGCTTTTGACTTGTGCAATTTTTCGTAATAATTAATTTTTTGTTCGTTTTTTCGTTTTTTCGTTCTCGTTTTCCCTTTGTGGATGCTTAGGGGGCGGGACTCCACTTTTATTTGGCATTTGAGCTGCTCAAGTGATTTCGCTTCAGTCCCAGCCCAGGCTGAGGCCTTTTGCTTTAATGTGTTTTTCATTAATTTTCTAATTTTAGTTGACTGGCTTATAGCTGGGCTAAGCGATGCGCCGAAGAAATTCAATTAAAAAATTCAAATCGCAGAGAGCAAGCATTTTATGCTGTTCCAGGCAATATCCTGATGGATCGAACGAATGGGCAGTGAGGTGTAAATGAGAGCAGCCATCGCTTATGATAGAAAATTCCTTGAGGCAAATGCGTTGATCTAAGGTACGCAGGGAGCAACAGATGCGCACACGAAGGCTCTTTAGAGCTGAGTTTTTAAATCCCAAAAAGACATTCAAGAAACGTTTGAAAAGCGAATATTTCTTAGCAAAAGAGTAGCTTGAATCAAGTGCCAATAAATTTGCATCTGAGCGCATTAAATTTGCTTCAAATGTAGCCCCCAATCTTCCCTCTGCTCTTTGCAGGCTCCTCTCCCACGTGCGACTACGAATCATTCTGACTGGGCGCTTTTTTGCGTCCGTGTTGGTGGTTCTGAGGCGTCGTATTGTGCCTTCATATTTGCCAGTTTGCTTGACAGTTGAACGAATTTGCGCTATCAATAAAATGGATTTTATTTGTGCTTTGCTTTTTGTGCGCTCCAGAGGCCCAAAGTGGCTTTGCCAGACCAGAGCAGAACGAGGTCGATGGCGCAGTCGGGGCACTGGTTGGGTTGGGTTCGGGCGGGACCTCTTAATTGTTTGAAAATTTGTCGCCTCATGCACTTCTGACAGCCGCAAAGAAGTTGACAAATGATGTTGGCTTTGGTTTCTGTGGCTGCTCTGGCTGCTCAAGCTGCCAGGATTCTAATTTCGGCTCTTTTTTTTCACACAATGACAACGCCGGAAGTGACTTTGGGGGCCTGAAGACGAGGTCTCGAGCTGAGTGTGTGTGAAAGTTGGCATCGGCAGCCTCCGTCGGGAGCCTGCAGCAACGTCTTGATGAGCTTGGCAGCTGTTTAATTCCTTTGTGGCTGAAACAATATCAAAACTTGGCGTCAGCCGGCTTTGTTTCACTTGCATAATGAGAAGTTGGGCAGCTCCTTGCCCCATGTCTCCCATTTCCCATTTCCCAGTTCCCAGGCATCGTCCTTGCTTAGCCTTGTCTCAACGCATCTCAATTTATGCGCACGTCTTGTGCAAACAAATCAAAAACGCGAAGGCTGCATAATGAGCTGACATCCTTAGCCTTCTCCAGCATCTTCTTGGCGGCTGCCATTCCCTGCACTTGTCCCTGTCGTTGTTCCCTGTGTCTGCCTAACGCCTTCATTAGCAGCCTTAGTCTCCATCCCAGTATCCGTCTCCTGTCTGCCCTGTCTCCTCCATTGCCAAATAAAGTTTCAGCGCAACATGCCAGCAAGACAAGAACCGCAACGCAAAGGCAACGTGGAAATTTATGCGCTCTATTAAAATGAATGCAAAATGAGCTCAGGCCACAGCACCCCCTTCAGAACAGGAATGTGGCAAAACAGCAACAAAGGCAACAACATCCCAGCGGGAAACCACAAAGAACAAACCTGAAAAAATGTTTCTTCATGCTCCAGCGTGAGGCAACACCAGATCGGGGGATGCAGACCCCCGATGACCACAAAGCGCGGGTTGGGCTACGGCTTCTGCGTGCCATTCCGAAGGAGTTTAGCCAATTGGTTCTGGGTACACTTTTAATTAACATGTTCAGCCAGAACAAGCCAGCAGAGTCTAGGCAAAGAAATATATTTTAAAGGATTTTTCCACTCGGTAGATTCAACTTTCAAATCCATTTGTCTCTGACAAGCATTTGCATTGGTCCCAATGGTTGAAAGGGTACAAAATTAACTAGAATTGCTTATGCCTATTAAAAGTTAACTTTTACTTATACTCTCTCATCTTTGCTTTTAGTTTTCTGTATTAGAAGCTCTTCCTGCTGTTCCTTCTCTGATATTAAGGCTTCAATGTAATGTAGCATAATACAGGTATAGGAATATATTTTAAGGGAAGTGAACCCACGGGCGATGATGGCGAAATTCGATAGATTTAAGCAGAATAATTCCCTCTTTCCCGTTTTCAGCAGAGGAATAGTTTCTGACCAATTTGATTCCTTTACGTTTCAGTGGATCCGAAGGGAAATCGGAGACAAGCTTCCACAACTTAAGCTCTAATCGATTGCCCGTTCCAGCTAATTAGGGGAGATTATTTGCACAGCTAATCGGCTTAGCTGTCAATTTTTAAGCAACTTCTCTGTTATTTGCTGGCAGCTGCATCAAATTGAAAGTGATTCTGTGTCCGAGCCACTTGGGAAGCTATTTGCACTTCGTTCTTGTCCTTTTGGCATACCTTATCTGACAGCTCCACGACTCTTTTTACTCTTGCAGCACTCTCTCTCAGCTTTCGCAACGTCTGCGAGCGTACAAGAATCGTCGTCGGGCCTCGTCAGCGGTTCCAGGACGGGAGCGGCGCGCAGGCGTCGACGATGCGGACGAGGATGCGGACACACCAACAGCGACACTGAGGCGCCACAAGCGGCACAACAGTTTGCCCAAGAATGCGCTCTACACGAGACACACCACGGTGCAGGAGAGCATCGACGATGACGATGACAGCACGGCGCACAGTGATCAGCAGTCGAGATCGACGTCGAAGGGCAAGAGCTGTCACTCGGACACGGAGCTGGATCCACCGCAGGCGAAGCAGTGCCACGTGGGAGGCACAAGCCACCAGTCGGACTACCTGCAGCTGCCCTCGGTGTGCACGTGTCCCTACTTCGGGGATCGACCGCTGCAGAATTGTGTGAAGACGGCCGAGGTGAAGATCATTTCATCAGCCTTCCGGGTGACCACGACCACAACGGCGGTGAGTAGTTCCCCAAGCGAAATGGAACTGCTCCTCTGCAGCAGCGGCAATAAGAAGGCGCTGACCTCCAGTGTGAGTGCGGGCATAGCCGGGCCAGGGGCAGCTGCAGCTGCAGCAGCAGCAGCAAGTGGAGCAGGAGTAGGAGTCCCGGCACCCTCTGGTGGCTCAACCCTGAGTCCGCACTCGGCCTCTGCGCAGAACCAAAGCAGCTCCCTGACGGTCCAGGGCGATGCCAGCGGCTACCTAGCCGCTCCGGGCACTCCCTGTCCCGGCAGGCGCAAGCTGAGCATCTCGAAGACGGCCTCGGTGGTCACTTGGGATGCCAGTCGTCATCGCAGGCGGGGCAGCAGCTTCGGCGGCGTGCGAACCTCACTGCTGCTGACCCCGACCAAGACGGCCACAGCCTCCACCACATCCACGCCGCTGCGGCGCTCGGCCACCCTGCGCAGCCACCAGAACATGAACTACCAGGCTGGCACGGACTGCGGTGGAAAGACTAGGGCGACCACATCCTCGCCCTGCATGCTGCAGCGGCAGCAGACTGTGCGCTCTCACCACTCCCGGAACTCCAGTGTGATCTCGAGGAACTCGTCGCGGCACGGCAGGATCATACGGCTGGAGCAGAAGGCCACCAAGGTGCTGGGCGTGGTGTTCTTCACATTCGTCATTCTGTGGTCGCCCTTCTTCGTGCTGAACCTGCTGCCCACGGTGTGCGGCGAGTGTGAGGAGCGGATCAGCCATTGGGTCTTCGATGTGGTCACCTGGCTGGGCTATGCCAGCTCCATGGTCAATCCCATATTCTACACCATCTTCAACAAGGTCTTCCGGCAGGCCTTCAAGAAGGTCCTGCTGTGCCGCTATTCCAGCACGAGCGCCTGGAGACCGAGCAGATAGCAGACGCCTGTCAAGCCGGGCAAACTCAAGACGAAGCCCCAGCAATGCCCCAGCGTGGACTTTCAGGAGTCCATTGCATTGCAGCCGCCCGAAGGCGCAGGGGTCGCAGGTCAACGACGCGGCCAGCGGGCAGCCCCTGCGGGCGTCCTCAAAAGGGGACTCAAGGGGACTGGGCCATTGGGCAGCAACAGATAAGCCCGCAGATCCAGGGAAAGCCTTCCCCACTACGTTATGTCTGCGGCCCACCGCACAACGTGTCGTATACACAATGTGTGGCTCGCTCTCACACACCCACTTGTCCCCATTCTTCGCACATACTTGTACACATCGGAGTCGTGTGTGTGTGTGTGTGTGTGGTGGGTGACTGAATGTCCTCGAGGCTTAAGCGCTTATGTGGCTCTAATTAATTTCAAATTCAATTTGCATGCCATTGAAGACACATGTCCGGCCAGCGGTGTAAGGAGCGAGGAAGATAGTTTCATCAATTGCAAATTCCAAGAGACTTTGGCATCCCGCAGGCAGCAGCATAGCAAACATAACCCTATCGCATGAACATTAAGTTTGTGCTGAATAATACGTATGCGGGGAGCAGCAGTATTTGGTGGCAAAGGACTGCTCCGCTCTCTGTTCGCTTTGCGGACACCTTAAAGACCTTAAAGCGTGCTGTAAAACGGGGCAAAAGGAACCCTCAGAACACTCCGTCTGTCCCTCGTGTTTGAGGCCTAATTCTGAGAAACTTTAAGTGAAACATAACACAGAATTGAGTTGATTAATTATTTGCAAGAGGAACGGAATGTACTCAAAGAGAGTGCTCAAGAGCAAGGCGAATAGCTCTCCCCCATGGATAGATACTCACAAGTGCATAGCATGAGGCCAAGTGCCATTCCAACTGGATATATAGTACGTATTTGCATTGAATATTCTCTTCAGCTGAAAACTCTCTCTCTGCGGTAGGTTGATGTTCGATGGAAATGGGCAATTATGCCGTGAATTTATGTGAAATGTTCTATCCGCAAATTGTATACGAAATCATTTAGGGATCCCGACACGTACACAAATCCAGGGGAGTTTGTGACTTTTGTTGTTCGTGTGTTGTTTGCTGTTGGCCTGGCAGATTGCTATTTTTATTTGAAAAGTTCATTCATTTTGTATTATTTCTGTGGGCAAATGAAAAATTTCAGCTGGTCACGTAAGAGCTTGACCGTACCCTGGAGGCTTGAGAATGAGGAGTGGTAGCCATAGCCGTAGCCAGATGCTTAAAAGACATCAAACAACAACAGGAGAACAACAGCAGCAACAACAGCAGCAACAACAGCTGCAACAACAGCAATAATAAAAGCCATTGGGATGAAAGTTTTCAGTTCCCCCAAGTTTAAAGCGCCATCAGATCGTCAGGCGGCTACAAAGTACCCAAGGAGGCAGGCGCACATCCAGAGGCAGAGGCCGGTGATGGGAAGATGACGGGTAATGACGCCATTAGTGGCAGCCACTCAAAGAGCCTGTCGCGATGACACCTCACAGCGCCACAAAATTTGTACATTGTTTTTTTTTTGCTGACAAATTTTCAGCGCCTGAACTTTTACTTTTACTCCTGCCCGCACCCTTGCCTTGCCGAGAGCAGACATGTGGCGGCACTTTGAAATTTATAGCAATTTTATCGCCAGCGGAAATCTTTTTTGCAGTTCATTGAATCATTGCTGGAGCAGGTCCCCGTTGGGCTGGCAGTCGTTGGCTCGTTGGTGTCACTCAAGGAACTTCATTGAACTTTAATGGAAGCGGCAGGCCGCAGGGCAAACAACAAAGACAGTTCCACACTTCCGTGTCCGCTTTCTGCCACATATGCTCGCTATATACTGTACATCTATTTACATAAAAGAGCTGACCAGCTGCACACCCCACAAGAGCAGTGGGCATGAAATTTCTTAGCAATAAATCGTAATGGAAAACTGCACCCGCTCCCATTTGCAGGCTCGAAATAGGCTTACGAATTTCCTGGCACAAGCAAGAGAGAAATATATTCAATGATCAAATACTCGTAAGTATTGTATTTCACAATAACTTTAGGTAAATACGAATTTAAAGCAAAGACAGCAAATGGAAATTTAATTTTAAGTGCATGCAAAATGTCGTTCAGTATTGTCTGATAAATGCTAGTTTGAATCGTTGATCTGTGTATGTTTAATCTATGGTAATATTATTTATAAGTCAAAGAGGGGGGAGCATTGTGACAAAACGCTTTTACCAGTAGTCCTAGATTAAACGAACAGCAACCGCAGAGGAAACTCTACGAGTTCTGCTTCTATCTACTTCTGTAAATGTAAAACTGAGCTATGAGACAAGTCAATCACTCTGTACATAATATCTCTCACCTGATAACACAATAACACACCCTAGGGCATACAAGTTGTGTTTAATTCGTGTGTAGTTTATGTTTAAGTGTTCAAAATCGAAGAGCCCATCCAGCCTTGTCCAGACTAGATTAGATTGTAGTGAAGATTGTATGAGGTGATATATGATTAAATGGTCGATGGATGTATCGGATGGAGAGAGCGTATTCCCCCAATATTGTACTGTACACCAGCAGCAGTAATAAATCAGAGCATTTCTGTTAAGGTTTCCACATCCCTGGAGCAAGTCTTGTTGCGATATTTTCCAATTTGCAAAGAATTTAAACGATAAGAAAATGTTTAGCCATAGAAGACCCCAAAGCGACATATCCCAATCCCACTCCCTTCTTATAAATGTGTATTTTATGATAGCCATAGCGAAATCCTTCCTAAACTAAGTCAAAGACACTGAAACGTAGATAAATAAATATATGTGAAACATATTAGCTATAGCCGTACTATGATTTATATGAGTGTATTCCGATTGTTTTTGATTTTGTATTAAATGTGCATTACACCACAGTTCGCCGGAGTTTCATTCACCCACGCAGCAGCAGCAGACCATTGTCACAGCTGCAGCCACAAATTGACACTCCCACGGGATCTGGCAATCGAATGGGACTCTGATGAAGGCGTCAGCCTCTGTCTGGATCCCACCCACGCATTGACTTCCATGTGAAATTCCACTCAATTAAGCATTGAGCGAGCAACGATGTCCCTTTTGAACATACCCTGGGATAGGGTCAATTTACAGAGCAAAATGATGAGAGTGCAATCAAGCTCACTGCCATACGGCATATGCCACAATCAACGCAAAGGACACAGACTTAGTTATCCACTTATTACACTGTGCGACAAATGGGAACTTTTTGAAAGTACTTTGCACGATTATTCATTATTGGAATTGGCACTTTAAATTTTCTCACACAATTTTCTTCACAAATCAAATTGAGTTTGAAAGAAAATTGTATATTCTTTTACAGGATATTTGATTCCAGGAGATAAAATGGATATCCTTGACGAAGATGAAGTCTTCTACCAATTTTAATGTTGCTGCAACTGTGACAAATTTTTGAATTGGAAACATATTTTAAATAATATCAGCAGCTAATTAAAGACACACATTTTAATCCACTCAAAGCTAGCCATGGTATTGTCGACAAGGACAGAAGTAGAAACAACAAGGACCTTCTCCACCGTGCATTTAAGGTTCCATTGCTTTCAGTTCGCTTTCAAGAATTATAATGAGGACAAAAATAGATTTTTTCCCAGCTCCAAAGTGGGTAAATAAAACTGCAATTGAAATGTCACCGCCCACGTCCATGTCGGCATCCAAGACTACAACAAACTTTGTCGTCCTCTTCCGCCCACGAACCTCCGCTGAGAGCGCCTTCAAAGCCAATCAAAGCGGATTCGGGCCTGGTGCATTAACGTCACAAGTTAAATGATAATTATTTCAGGGTACTTGGCAGACTAGTGCCCGCTAATGCCGCGTAAATTTGTGTTTCAAGAGGGTTCCCTAGAGAGGGGAAAAAAGGGGCCAACAAAGTCGCGAACCGCGTATAAAATGTGATCAGAGTCCAAATAGCGACTACTCAGCGTCTCTTCATTTTATTTGCAGCTTTAAGAGCTCGTAAAGTAGCACGGAATCCCCTACCCGAAGTAGATTGTGGAGGCCGTTTTAATGGATTCCCGTTTTGCCACTCCAGCTCCAGCTCCAACCCTGTCCGTGTCCCCACCACTCGAGCAAAAAGTTGCTGTAATAAACGCTTTTTGTGCGAAGCGACAACGCCGCCAACTTGAATTTTTCGCCCCCGACAACGACCCCAGGGGCAGTCAGCAGAAGTGGAAACATCCCAGCGGCTGTAGTGCACTTTCAGGCGCTTTTAATCTCCATACGAGTGTGTGCAGAAGTGAAGGCGGTCGCGTGCTGGAGAGGAGAGTATAATAGTTGTTTTCGGTAAATATTTCAGCGGTTCGCCATACGCACACAGAGGCACACAGAGGGGACACAGCTGAAAGGCACTCAAAAGTGCAGGCCGCGGGCCTACCTGAAAAAAAAAAGAAACCCATTCACATTTGTGTGTTCATTGGTCGGACATATCAGCGAAATAACAAAGAAAATAACAGCCGCAGTTGGCGTTAAAATGCTTTTGATATCGGAATAAAGCACATCCTGAAAGGGTGAAAGCGACGATGAAATGCCCTGTAAGCATTTGAACCAAGTAATTGTTGTAAAACAAAGAATTGAGTCATAAGTGAAGAGGTTTTGCCGGAACGCACCCAAAGAGTGAGTCAAAGCAGAAAGTTGTTAAAGGAAAAGAAATTAATTCTGTGAGCGAGAAAACACTGTGACATGGAAGGAAAATGATTACCATTTAACACCAAAGATTGACTCGTATGTGAAGAGAGATGGAAAAGAAAGAGAATAAACGAAGGAACTGAGCCCATACATATGTGTATATCTGTGCTGAGAAAGGGTATGTAGGCTACCAGCACACCCGGAACTGGCCTTGGCTTTCAGCAAGAGGGACAAACAAATGCAGGTATAAAATATTTCCCTGGCTGTGCATATCGGAGCAGGGGAATGGAAAATCGTGTGCATTGATTGCATTGATTTATGTTCCTGATGCTGCTGCTGGCTGCAGCTTGTTGCGCATTTTATGGCCATTTCGATTGGCTGGCTCTCTGGCATTTGAAAGCAGCTTTAAGGCGAAAGCAGCACACAGACTGAAGGCAGCAGCAAATAGACCGCTTGAAATCAAATAGCCAGCTTTACACTCAGTATATAAGGAGAAAATCAAAGAGCAGCCCCACCCCGGGCGATCTATTGAATGCGCTTGACAAATTGTCGAGCAGGTGAAAGCTGCCATTAACACACGCGCACACACACCTGACCCAGCGACTGCCCAGGCACATGGAGGACACATGACACAGGACACATATCGCTTTGATGCTAAATTGTATGTGGCACTGTGTTTGGTTCCTGTGTCAGTCCTTTGTTCTGCTGCTTCGAGCTGCTTGCCATTGCTATGACAGTCTCAGCCACACATAAAGCCCTGTGGGAGACTCCGACTCCGACTCCGACACTGACTCTGACTCTGACTCCGTTGTGTGTCCGTATGCACTATCCGAAGGCAATTAAATTCCAATTGCAAAACTCACAAATGCAAATTTAATATTAGGCCAAGAATCGAATTTGCCGGCAGGTTCTTGATGGCCTTTGACAGCCTTATTAGATTAAAGCCTTGTCGACAAACAGTCCATGCCGAGTGTATAACATTTTCACAGGTGCCATGGCCATGGTTTGGGGTGTGAATCGAATCAGGGCCTCATTTCATCATGGCTCGAACTCTGTATCGAATTCGAATGTCCCTGCACAGAGCATCAGGCACTCATTTGAAAGGGAAACCATACTCCAGTGCCAAAAAACACTTTAAAGTTTTCAGCAGCTGTCTGCTGTTGCTTCCTATGTATATTGATTGCTTTCAATTAAAATACCGCCAGCTGCCGACTGCCGACTGCCGAAAAAGTTGACATGGCACACGGTCTTTGTGTTAATTTAATTTCACGAGACAACTTCAAAGTTCGCCGAAAGGTCGTGGAGCTGGGGGGCATTGACAGCCATGCCTGTGGCCAAGTCCTCTCAATGGCATGCTGGCTCTACATAGAAAGTATTTGTGGGCCCAAAGGCAGGGAACCAGGGCTCAACCCGCTCATGCTTGCTATGGGCTCGGAGTCAGTCAACTGTTTCTCGGTTTTAAACGTAAATTAGTTTTATGAACAACATTTTATTAGCTCTGCGAACTAGGACAAACCATTACGAATATGTATAAATATTTATTATGCCAATTATTCGCTCTTTCCGTTCTGTTCAATTTATTTGCGGATTATGTTCAGATTGTGGCACTTGTATTCCGATCATTGGACAAGCTTAAGCATCCATTTGCGAGCTTTGGCTGGCCAGCAAATGCAACTGCCCATCTTCCCCTTGGAGTGCATTCTTTTTGCCGTTTCCCGCTGAGCACTTTGGTCCCGGGAGCCTTCAAGTCTTGGCCATCTAAAGTTTCATTATGGGCATCGAAGGCCGATAAGCTGCTTGGCTGTGGCGCAGGCAGGGAAATATGGCCAGTCATTTATCTAGGGGAATGGCGGCTCAAGTATGCATTGCGCTTATCAAATACCATCAACGAGTAATATAAATGTGCTGCCGTTGGCCCCCAGCAGACACGCATAAAGGTAGTTAGCGTGGGGCGGAAGTAGGAAGTAGGAAAGTGAAAGGAATTTCCGCAGGCCAACAAAGCCAAACGAAGGCACAAAAAACGCACAATACAAGAACACCGCACCAAGAACACAGGACCAAAAAGGTAATCATCTAAGCGCGATGCCAGCAAAAACAGAAACAAATGAGTCTCTATAAATACGCATACACAAAGAGGGCAACTTTTTGCCATGTGGGTGCTCGGCTCTGGTGCGTGTTTGTGTCTGTGTCTGTGACACAATGAAAAATTCACAGCGCAAATGAGTTGAAAACTTTGCCATAAGTTTGTATGCGTACAGCGTGCAATCGCAGAATTAAATTCAACTCTTAGGCGTCTTCCGAAATGCCAAGGACTTGGCCCAACAACAGATACGAGTAGACAGTCAAAGTGTGCCAGTTCGAGTGGGTGATTACAATAAGTCTGGAGGTTTGCCACATAACATTTGAATAGAACTATGATTAATACATTGAACCTAGAGAAATGGCTAATAAGAAGAAAAGAATAACTACCATAAACTATTTCCTGAACTTCTCTTTTGTGTCTTTGTTTGAATTCCCCAATTGTGGGACTAAGTGGTTCCTGCCAGCTCTTAAAGAGTATCTTCATGCTGCCTGTCCCTATACATTTGAGCTGGGTGCCTTTCGCATTTGCCAAGAAAAGGGCTGTTTATCAGTGACAAGCCAAAGGCAAAACAGATATACAGTCAGTGGAGAAGAAAGTGGCAGGGAAAGGAGCCCATCTGTCGCTGTTCCAAAATGTTAAGCAAACAATGAACGCAAATATTTTGTAGCTTTCGCTCGAGAAGGTTTTAATGTGAAGAATAAATACGAAAAATGCGGAAGCAACGCTTCCCGCTTAGGGCTCCGTGATGGCCTTCTTGGCGGCCAACTTCTGGAGCAGAGTCAGGAAGCTGAAGGCCTGCGTTATAACCTGAAAGCAGAAGGCACTCAGAAGGCTACGTGATGGTCGCTGTTACTTCTTACTGATCTCAGGCGATTCACGTCCATCACGTAGAATTTTCCAGCTGTCACATACACCGCCCGACGGCTGTTAACGAGAAAGATGAGAACATCCTGGCGCAGGCAGTGGGCGTGCTTCCACCATCCGCCTCTCCAGAAGGCCTCTCCGGATCGCACGCTGTGCCGACTGAGCAGCTCGCCGCAATAGGTGAACATCAGCAGCTCGAAGAGGGTCAGCGCCAGGTACTGAATCTGATTGACAATACGCAGGAACTCCTGGGTGCCGGACACACCCACGAACACCAGCAGGCAAAGCTGGATGGTAATCTGCATGGACTTGACCAGGCAGTACGGGCTGAATAGGTTCTCCAGCTCCGCGCAGCAGTACAGAATGAAGCGATGCAGACGCACACACTCCACGAGGGCACTGTGGAAAGCTTTCACCTGCCCCAGACGATGGGATCCCGCTCCCGCTCCAGCTCCAGCGGAGATTCTAAGCAGATCCGTGGGATGCTCCTGCAGCAAGGCATATTGATTCAGCTCCCGTGTGGAGGAACCCTGGAGCAGGTCTCGTTGCAGAATGCTAAGCAGGACTCACCTGAGTTAGTTATCCCTAGATGGTTAGAGGTCCACTCACCCTAGCCCTCTGATTGTCTCGCCAGAGAGCAGCTTGGCGTGGGCATCCAAGTTCTTCAGGCTGCAGTAGAGCACATCGAACTGGGCCAGCAGCAGCAGGCAGAGGGTGACAAACAGGGATCCGCCAAAGCCGAATGTGACACCAACCGAAATCTGCCCGAAGAGCTGAGTGGCGTACACCGCCATGTAGGTGCCTGGGGCGAGGGCATCAAAGGGATACCAGCAGGTCAGAGGAAGAGTTCGTATGCCCAGCATCAGGGGGGACACACCCCAGGTGATCACACCCACCAGGCAGCACAGGATCCAGGTGGAGGTGAAGCTGCGGGACCATCTGTGGGCCGTGTGGCTGCTCACAAAGGTCACGCCAGCGAGCGAGTGATGGCGATACTCCCCATTGATGTGCTCCATGAAGGCCAGCAATCGCTTTGATCGCACGCACCAGTAGATGTTCGCGTAGCCCGTGAAGAAGTATATGATGGTCATGGTGAGGGCATCCGTGATGGGCTGCAGCTCGCCCGTTGGCAGCACGTCCAGCGTTGTCTTGGTGAAGAGCAGACCCAAGTGGAGCGACGTCAGGATCACCATCGAGCAGTAGGCCTTGGCCAGCAGCCCGCCCACAGGCCGCAGCCAAATGGGCCACCATCTGGGCCACTTCGGAACTGGGTTCATGCCCATTCCCAGCTGCAGGAACATCAGCAAGCCGAACAATTCCGACTCACGCGCAGGATCCAGCGACGCATCGTACCTGGTGTCCGCATCAACGTTGCCGTGGAACTGAAGACTCGCCATATGTCCAGCCTTGGACTCGGTATCGAAGTGCGTATCTGGAGCGTATCTACTGCCTATTTAAGGGTCCCTAAATGTATGCATTAATGAGTTTTTAAAAGTTTCCCCTTGGTGCCAAAGGTGCCGGCAGAGGCGTGGCTTATAATTAACATTTTTCATGATTTTGTCCTCGCTGTTGTTGTTGCCAACTAAATGCTTAATTGTCTGTCCAAATTACCAGCGAAAGACAACCTTTAAAGTTTCTCAATAAGTGGAAGAGCATAAAGGAAGGAAGGTATAACCTGAATTTCTAACTCAGACTCGCAGTTCTTCATATTTATTTATATATAATCGAAATCAATACAGGCACAGAGTGAATTTTGTGAAAATTGGAAACATAAATGAGACTTCAATATTTCTATACATAAATTAACAAACACTCCTTCTGCCTGTATTCAACCTCAATCCCCATTGAGCACCGGGCATATAAATTATGTATAAAATATATGTGGGGGTTTATGTTTATTGATTATAAGTAAAGGTTAATAAGTGATTAAACATGGTGTAACGGTACAAGAATTAGATTTCTGCGTCGTTCGTCGTCTCGTCTCGCACACAACCTTTTACCTCTCTCGCCATTCGGTTGTCCGCTCTCGCGCTCAATTCGCTCTCCTTCGTTTTCTCTCGTGTTTGGAATTCGCAGTGACGCTAATTCGCCCTTGCTCGTTTTGGTGTTTTGTCTAGGGATCGCAATTGGCAAAAGCCAGCCCACATATTCCTTTAATAATAAGGTTAATAAGTGATTAAACATGGTGTAACGGTACAAGAATTAGATTTCTGCGTCGTTGGTCGTCTCGTCTCGCACACAACCTTTTACCTCTCTCGCCGATCGGTTGTCCGCTCTCGCGCTCAATTCGCTCTCCTTCGTTTTCTCTTTGCGTTTTCTCTAGTGTTTGGAATTTGCAGTGACGCTAATTCGCCCTTGCTCGTTTTGGTGTTTTGTCTAGGGAAAAGGAGAAAAGGGGAAAAGGGGCAAAAGCCAGCCCACATATATTTACAACATTTCCCTTTCAAGAGCTCGCGAGTTTCAGCCAACTGCAAACTTAATACTTTCAAACTTGACCCAAAACAAATATCTCTTTGACTCGCTTGATACTTGAATGCAGCTTATACATGCAATATAGAAAAATTCAATGAATGCAATTCAAATTAATTGAATGCGCCAACCTTTGACCGTCGAATGTGGGCAATATATTCTTAGAAATAATTGCATTAAAATTTGCATTTATTGAATTGCAAAACGTATGCCACAAAGCGAATGTGTGTATACACATTCAAGTGCCCTTCGATGAAACTAAGCCTGGGAAGTGGCTCATAGAAAATGCTAATTACCACGTGAACTTTGCACACCTCACAGGTGGCAACATTCACCGTGCGGAACACACCGGGATGGTCTGGTGTTTGCGTGTCGTGATCATGTAAATTTCTTGTACGCTTGCTTCTAATTCCCGGCGAGGCATTTAATTAGACCACAGCCACATGCAATTAATTTAACAAAATATTTAAAGAGCCATTGAGGTTGACAAGGGAGGGGGGGGGGGGGGGAGGGAATACCAACGAAGGGGTTTAGACAGACAGACAGACAGAATACCCGCACCGAATGCTTCAAATGCTCCTCGTGCTACTCGTGTACAAAAATGTGTGCAAGTTTTGGGGGGCGAACATCAAATATAAATGCAAACTAATTTAATTCCCTCTGGGCTGACTCGGGACCCGGGATTCGGTTCACTTCGGTTCAAGAAATTCTTACACACTGTTGCCATAATGGGCATGAACTTGGGTCCGCTCCTTGGCCAAATTGTTGCCAGCCTGTAAACGAGAAAACTTTACACCAAAACGCTGAGCTTGGGCCTTGTCCTGGAGTGTAGTCTGGCTCTGGCTCTGGCTCTGTGCAATACAAAGTCAGTAACATTAAGTAAGTGCAGACACACTCGTCCTCGCACTCGACCTCGTATCTTTGGTATGCTCTTTAGTCAGCTCTTTAGTGTGTGTCAGTCTGTGCTCACGCATGTCGAGTCTTGTTCCAACTGAAAATTTACCTGCTGTGATTTATTCAATCAACTTGTGCGTCGCCCCAAAACAGCGCCAGCTCCCTTTATTATTTAGACATCTTTGTTGTCGCTGCCGCTGCCGCTGCGCCTTATGGGAGTTTAATGTCACTTGCCTGGCTAAGCAAACTTTGCTGCCACATTTAATCTGCATAATTTTTATGAAAATTACCAAAGAAAAAAGCAAATACAAACAGCGCAGCTGCCGGAATCAGATACACTTTGAGCCATGGACGGACGTACAATTTACTCTCATAGATAAAGCTTCATTGAATATTTTTAGCATCTGATTTGGCTGCTTTAATTGACGTCACACGTGGCATACACTAATGAAAAATGAAAATCTTATACAATACCTCTTATTCTACCTTTAACATTTGAATGGCAAAGGAAAATGTGAATCCATAAATTGATTGCATAAAATTATTCCTTGCGGCCAGATCGGACATTTGTATGGTTCCAGCTCGGCTCACTTTAATCTGCATTTATAGTTTTATGAGAATATATATTTTACGAGTGGCAGCGTACCATTTCATGGCTATTCATGACACATACCCGTAATCCAATGCTTTCCCAGCCACCTGGCGTACCAGTATGAGCAAATTTTAATTAAATTCACTGGAAGCAAACAAAAAAAAAAAACAATTTAGCGCATTTTTCGACAGCTGGAAAAATGTTTTTAGAGCTTTGTCTGACGACCATTTCGTTCCATCCCATTCCATCCCAGGCCACTCCCTACACACAAACGCCTTCCCGTGCTGAGTTCAGTCCGATTGCAGTTTGCAGGAAACTTTTTAATTAATTGCGCTTGCCAATTTTTCGGGGGTGCAGAGCGTCAGTGCTTTTATTTCCCCAGCAAAGGTCCGAATGGAGCGGGGTGGAGCGCTCAGGGAGGAGAATGGACCACATGAACATCGCTAATTTGCTGCAGCCAGACAAGAGGCCCTCTCCCAGGGTTGGCACCACCACCACCACTACCGGCTCTCACGGGCTGAAGCATAGTCAATCAGGAAGCCATTTGACGTAGCACGGTGCCAGGCAGGCACCTCCTTCTCCTCAGGTCCGACAGTCACGCGCTCCACCAGCCTCATGTTTGCTAATTTATGCGCCAGTGCAGCCGCAGGGCGAGTGGCAAAAAGTTTCGCCGCTAACGGGACGCGGTAACTGGAGTGGAAGTGGGAACGAGCTGTAGTTGTTTTCGCTGCTCTTGTTCGCGATTTAAAGCTCTTACTTCAGTTCCGATTCCGATTCGTTCCCCATCCCATCACGTCTCCATTCTGTTTCGTTCTCTTTCTTATCTCCATCTCCAATCTCCACCAGTGCCAACTCGATCCGCTTCTTGTTTTCAGTTGAATGTTGTCTTTTATTTCCTCCGGCGGCTGCACAAAACAATTTGTCAAACAACAAAACTTTCTCCACTCACATAAAAGTATGAGGGCCGTCGAGTTGAAACACATTTCCACTTTCCACAGCAGGGCACAAGGCCATTTAAGATCGCAGGCCGCCTCCTCAGGGGCCGGTCGAATACGAATACTTACTTCAAGCTTTCAGTTGTGTCCGGTATCTGATAAGAGATGTAACAAGTCAAAAATGCTGACTTGGGGTATTACAACTACACCACAAGTGTAACAACACGCAGCAAATCCATAAACTAAATTAATTTAATTTCCAAATTAAATTATTATATGTTCATTCAATTGGTATATTTAATTACTTCTCCTACTGATTCACTGAACTTACATTACCAACAAAAAGTTGCATTAGATCCACAGGTTGTCTTCCGGTTGTTAGTACACAAACGACTAACTTTATCATTTAGATTTCGTTAACAAGTTAGTTTTACACAAAGATAATTCATATAATGCCATAAACGCTGACAGTTCCAATGAAAATGTTGAATTTTGATTATTTTCACGGAAATTAGAACTGTTTTAGAACTATTTGGGCGCATAATCACAGATATAATGACGAGCTGGAAGTTAAATTTGATCGTATAAAATGCATTATATATGTATGTACATCTATGCATGAGTACGTGTACATATGTCCCCTTCAACTAACGCCTCATGCCTCAACAGTGTCTAAAATGTATTTCATTTTTGTCGTTTTGTGCGGCAATTTCGCTGTGCATGGTAGAAAAGTTTTTAATGCAATTTTGTGAAATATTTTCACTGTGATTTAGTTGTGCGACCCGAAAATAGTGAGCATTGAGCCTACACTGATAAAAACATTCCGGCGCAGTAGTCAGGCCGACTGAGCTGCAGCTCCTTTTATTTTGTCAGTGTGCAGGAAACTTTGCGAGCTGCCAAATTGAGTTTGGAAGTTGCAAACTGTCTCAACTGACGACCACATATGAGTCTAATTCAATTTGAGGTAAGCGGACAGGCACTTTCGACTCCTCCACACACCGCCAAGCCCTCACCGCCCAGAATTTTAACTACAATAACAATTAGCATTAACATTGATAGGGTCTGGGGCTGGCACTGGCACTGGGGCTGGGGCTGGGGCTGGGGCTGGGTCTGGCTTCTCCCTGCCTGCGGTCGGCTCCTCTCAGCGTCGGCACTGGCATCGGGGCTTTCCCATATTGTGGTTTGTTTGCCAGGTTTTCCAGCTAAGATTTGTGTGTTTGGGTTCCCGCTTGGCTCGTGTCTCGTCAAATGAGAGTAAACTTAATTACGCCCAGGATCTGTGTGCTGCAGCAGCTGCTTGTTAATGCGGTTTTCCTGCTCCCATCCTGCCGGCTTTCAGGAATGTGATGTTTATTAGCCAGCCAGCTCCTTCCCTTGGCCACATACTGTACATGCAGACACACTCGTTTTCATGAGAGTATCTATGTTTAAACGGGCAGGCGACTTGCTAAATGTTTTACTCTAATTAACGCCCAAAAGCCACAGTGCAAGTGTTACCTGCTTTGTGGCTTGACGGA